GAGAATCTCAAAGCCGTGCAATCGCGCCAAAAGAGTTACTATGATAGCAAGCACCGTGACTGGGCTTTTGAAATCGAAGACCATGTCTACCTCCGCGTCTCTCCAATGAAAGGCACTCGTCGCTTAGGTATCAAAGGGAAGCTTCCCCCTAGATACGTGGGTCCTTTCAAGATCATTGGCAAAAGAGGCGACCTCGCCTATCAACTTGAGCTTCCATCCAACTTTGCAAACATGCACGATGTGTTTCACGTGTCACAGCTTCACAAGTGCTTCAAGACTCCTGAGCGCACTATCAACTTCGAAGAAATCGACCTCCAAGAAGATCTTTCTTATCATGAGCACCCTATTGCTATTCTTGAAGAAACCGAGCGCAAGACTTGCAACAAGTCAATCAAATTCCTGAAAGTGAAGTGGTCACACCATTCCGACCAAGAAGCCACCTGGGAGCGCGAGGATCACCTCCGTTCTGAATATCCAGAGTTCTTTCAGTCCTAGATCTCGGGACGAGATCCTCTTATAGTGGTGGAGTGTTGTAACACCCCGGATGTAACTTTCCATCTTTGTAACTCCAACTCTTGCCATTTTCGGCTATGTGATATGATATTCCCTCCGTGGTTGGGTTTTGTCTTTTGTTTTGCATTTTATTCATGTCATGCATGTGATATCATGTCATCACGTGCATCTCATTTGCATACGTGTTCGTCTCATGCATCCGAGCATTTTCCCCGTTGTCGGTTTCGCAATCCGACACTCCCAAATGCACCGGCGCACCCCTCTTGTCTCCTTTTCGTGTGCGGGTGTTGAACGTTCTCGGAATGGACCGAGCCTTGCCAAGTGGCCCTGGTATAGCACCGGTAGACCACCTGTCAAGTTTCAGGTCATTTGGAACTCGTTTGGTACTCCAACGGTTATCCGCAATCCGCAAAGGCCTCTTTTAAGTTGCAGCCCAACACCCCTCCAAAACAGACCAATAACCCATCTAAGCCACTCCCATGCTCTGCATCGTCGGATCATGATCTTGTGGGCGAAAACTAAACCCCATTTGTACACTCCTAGCTCCCTCTACCTACAAATATGCATCTCCCCCTCCAAATCCGGGCAAACCCTAGCGAAATTCCCCCTCCGCGCCGTCGGACACGTCCGGATCGGACCGGATGCGTCCGTCCACCGTCGTCGGTCCAATCGCGCGCCGCCACGTGGCAGGCCCGCGCCCACTTCGCCGCCGGCCGCGCGAGGCCCGTCCCTGGCCCCCGCAGCCCG